TATATATATATTATTTTACATTCATGTAATATACAACCAAAATGTTAGAAATTTTAACCAAATTAGTTATTTATTTATTTGTATTGTTAGTTGTAAACATTTGTTATTGGCGAGTGGTAATAATGCACCTATGTGAATTATTGAAATGATCTTCTCTCTAAGGTACCCCACCGGCGATTTAATCTAGAAACAGCATCATTAACTTCATCAATTCAAATAATCAATTCGCAGATATTCTAACCAAGCCATTGTGAGGTCCTCGAGTTTGTTATATGCTGAAAGAGAAGAGTGACTAGTGACACACCTCAATTTGGACCTAGCCTTTCCATAAACTGTTATTTCCTTGAAAGCAAGTAGTGTTTTTCTTCTTCTTCATTTCTTATTAGTTGGATTAAAAAGGATAAAATTAAAATTATTAAAAAAAAATAAGACAAGGAAAATTGTTTAAAGCAAAATGAATGAGTTGTGAACTATTTAAATACTAGCGGTTCAACATCGTCCAAAAAAAGATTGCCGTATCACCACTCTGTTTGAAATTTAACATTAAATCCACGATAGGACGAATTTTGCGATACTTTGTAAATTGGGAGACAAAATGCGCACACAAAAAAAATTCTTGAGAAAAAAATTAAGCCACTCTTTTAAAATTAAAAGGGAATTTCATTTGTTAATTAACATTTATCAAATATTTTCTAATAATCTATAATATATATAAACAAGATAATCTAATTTGTTGCACTTATTTTTTAAGATGGTTCTACCTTTTAATTTTTAAATATTAAAAATTAATTATTATAAATAGAAGACTTTGAACTTAAACTCTTGAAGTTTGAAGATCAAGCACAATATAATTAATTTAACAAATATTTGTAGTTCTTAAATATTTTTATTAGATAAAGATATAGTATTTTTTTAGCTTTTTGTTAATTTACCAAAAAAAGATAAAGATATAGTGAGTAGTGATATAAAATACCTTGATTTCATTATTAATAATGATAATAATAATAATTATATAATCAATATATTTATATCTTGGTTAACTTATTTTGCTTTTTGTAAGAAGTTTCAAATTCTTACGCTCATAATTATGTGATACTCAACTTATTTTTATATTTTTTTTATAAAATATAGATAATGAAATGTGATTAGTTATAAATATAAATATTTTTTTAATATAAATGATTATGAACATTAATCTTTAAGAATGCTTGAAATATTTATTTTATATTAAAAATACTGAAGACTAATGGCCTTAAAAGTTAAAATTGTTTTAACAATGAAAGAGAATGTCTTTCATCATCTAAGTTAAAATACTATTTAATAAGATCAAACTATATATTTATTTATATCATTGTATAAAGAAAATATATTTTTTACTAATTATTTTGGTTCTCATTTATATATGGACTTTTTTGTCTTTTTTATTTTATCCAAAAATCTAAAAGAAATATTCTTTTAATAACAATTTTGATTTTTTTGTCTTTTTTATAAAGCTGGACAATAAATTTTTTTAAATATATAAAATAAACTCTAATTTTAATCTCTAAAAATATTTCAAAATTCGATTTTAATCTCTACAAAAATTGATATTTTTAGTTTTTATATTTTTGAAAATTACGATGTATATATATATATTTTTATAAATATCAATCCATAATTAATATTATTCCTCTGATTGTAACTCTCCTAGATGGAGTGAATGGTGAACCAAACCAAGTTTCTTCTGAAAACAACTTTGTAAAATCACAACTTTAACTGAGCGTGTGTGGTGGAATTTCAAAAGTCTCGGAAGTGATAGATCCGCGCACACCCTTATTTTCTCCCTAAAACCCTTTTCTCATTCACCAAAAAGCTTTCAGCTTAGCAATTGTTGAAGGTGAAAGTCATGCGTAAACTGCTCATACTCTACGCCACTCAGACCGGCAATGCATTGGACGCAGCAGAACGTCTTTCTCGCGAAGCTGAACGGAGAGGCTGCCCCATCAACCTTCTCTCCCTTCATCAATATGACCCTGTAACTTGCGTTTCATCTTTTGCTATTCAATGAATCCAACTTTAATGTGTCATTTCACTTGTTTTGCGTTGTTGGCTGTGGCAAAAAATGTTCTTCTGAAATGAAAGTTGATTTTTTTTTTCTTTTTGCTGATGGTTTTTATGCAATGATGCTCTGTTTGTACAGAGTTTGTTGCCTCAGGAAGAGGCTGTGATTTTTGTGGTTTCTACCACAGGCCAGGGTGATGCACCTGATTCCATGAAGGTAACTAACTGACTAACTTTAGAGGGTCTTTATGTACTATCTATTCACTTTTTTTTTTTTTTTGAACTTTTCGAATTCGTGGCATAATTTGAGATTGTTTTCATTTATTTAATTTAAATAAACTGACGGGGTAAAAGCTTTTTATATTATTGTTCAATCATAGGTTGTATGGTAAAATTGTTGACTTTTGTAAAAAAAAACTACTTTAAAAGCATATTTATGGTGATTTATATTGGTTGACAGTATGGTGCACGGAAATTAAACTTGTTTTTAAGTTGTTTTGATTCTTCTTCTTTTGCCTGTGCAGGTATTTTGGAGATATCTTCTTCAGAGAAACCTAGGCCACCATTGGTTGAAAGGGGTTCATTATGCTGTTTTTGGCTTGGGTGATTCTAGTTATCAGAAGTACAATGTAAAATATTTATTCTCGCATGCTTTGTGTTTGAAAATTTGTGTTTTATTTGTTAGTTGAAGTATTGTTACACTCGTGAGTGTTGCGTTGGTTATTGTGACTATGTACATCTTGATGCTGAAATAATGAGAATGTGGGCAAAGTAGGCTCTCTCATATTTAAAATGACTTAGTTACTCTACATTTTTTATCAAAGCGATTTTTACTGTTTTGGCTGATTTGTTTATTTTCTTTAGTTTGATGTTTTGGATAAAACCTTACATGTGAACTGTCACAGTTTGTTGCAAAGAAGCTGGACAAAAGGTTATTGGACCTCGGAGGAACAGCTATTGTAGAAAGAGGCTTGGGAGATGATCAGCACCCTTCAGGGTATGGCTACATATTATGTTGTCAATTAAGATAATTTTACTCGATTTAGTTGTAACATACACCTTCATGCTTATGAAGTATGAAAAAAATTGATCTTTAGACACATGTGCCCACGTGTGGACACAAAGAGGAAAGAGGGAATGTATGGCTAAGAGAGCATTAAGAAATCATTCAAAATAGGACGAACAAGATACATCAGCTAAAAATAAAATTCAAAATGTTCATATGCTAATTTCTATACATGACTAAAATGGTCACTCCCTTGAAACGACCATAACAGAACCCCGTAAAGAGATTATGAACACTGCTCTCCCAAATTAACCTTAGAAATTAAAAACTAGAATTTAAAAATGTGAGCATTATGCTCCAAAATAATGCAACAAATTTAAATAAACAGAACGTTGTCACCAAGTTTTTGCCTTATCTCTCTAAATCCTGAAAACCTTACCAGCTGATGTTATCTGCATTCTGCTTCAACCAATTGAACCAAATTTTAAAACAGCACACTGCCAGAAAGAGAAACCTTAATGGCAGAATTTGTTCTAGAATAAGAGGATGTCCTCAAGAGTATCTAGGACTAGGACTGCAACTAACTTGCTTCTTAAGAAAGTATACATTTTCATGACACTATGTCAGGATTAAATGACCAATTGTTTCTGAATTTGAGTTGTGCTTGCTATTGTTTTCATTTACTCTTTATCTTAAAAGGTCAGAATGGGAAACCCATGGGTTCTTTGAGTAAAGCTCTATAGAAGATATTAATCTACCTTTAAGATTTCTGCATTAGAACTTGGTACTAGTTGCCACAGAAAACTTAGTTAAACTAGGTGAACACCTCGTGCTTTGTAATTAATGTTTTTCTAATTAAATTCTTATATTTTTATCAAAATTAATATTTTCTTTGTCATTGTATATTGTAATATACAAATTATCTTTCGAGTGACTAAAGATGGTATAATTATTTGTAGCTATGAAGCTTCTCTGGATCCTTGGATGTCTTCCCTGTGGAGAATGTTAAACATGATTAAACCAGAACTCTTATCAAATGGTCCTGATGTTGTGATTCAAGATACAGTATTGATTGATCAACCCAAAGTCCGGATCACATATCACAACATTGAAAATGTTGAATCACATTTTTCTAGTGCCTCGGGTATCCCAAACTCGTTAAGTTCTTGGTTGACTTGCAATGTTCCCTTGGCAATTATTTTGTGAACTCAGAAAGTCTTTGTATGTATGTTGCTTTTGTTGTTTATGATTTACCACCTCTGTGAATAACTGAATTGAATGGGACACAGTTTGTTTGCTTCAGTAATAAGACTTTGCATATTAAGTAATGAACCAGCCCGAAATTGGTAGAACCCCTTGCTATTATTGCTTCATTAGATAGCCGTTTTATGGAATTTTTGACATGTTATTGGATGTGGGATATTAGTTGTGTTTAAATTGCTTATGGTAAAGTAATCAAAGTTTTTGGTGCTTAAACTTCTAAGAGCATCTTGATTTTTGGATGTCACATTTGGGAAAACACGTTAGACCTTTTATATATTATTCAAATGATGTAATCTGTATGTGTATATATATTGTTTTGGCTGTGGAAATTTTGCTTTGATGTTCTCAATACTATGCATGGCTCACTTTGGTTTGGCTATAGCCATAAAGGTTTGCTTTTGAGTTACAGATTTTTACCCTCATTGTTGATAAGATTTATTATTATTGTTATTGTTATTATTATTGTTGTTATTGTTATTATTATTATTTATTAGAATGACATGTGATTCTTTCAGATTTAACTTCTCTTAATATTCAAATTGGGAGTGCTCGATCAATGCATCCTGGAAAATCTTCATTTGACAGAAGTAGGCCTGACTGCTTTCTTAAGATGGTACTGGATAAGACACTCTATCATCAGTAGTTGTAAAAAATATTTAGAATATGCCCATTCTGCTGATTGTCAGTGTTCAGTAACAGTGACTGATAAGCTTGGTGCTGTCTATTGTTCATTAATGACAGTGTATATTTAATAGATCAATTTTTCATCTTTGTAGTACAGAATAGCACTTTTGATATTTAGTGTTATATTGGTTTATATCCATTACATGTTACACAGGAAATGCTATTTATGTATCAATCTAGAAATTATGTATAAGCATTTTTGTCTGTGTGAAAGGATCAATTGACTCTAGGATCCATTTCTGTCACCTCCTAAAAACTCTTCTACTGCCAAGTCATCTGTTTCCGTTACATGCCTCAATTTATTTTATTCTGATCTTGCAGTTAAAGAATCTTCCTTTGACCAGATTGAACTGTGGAAAAGATGTCCGTCATTTTGAATTTGAATTTGTTTCAAATGTAAGCTACCCTTGTCTTGTTTAATCATGTGGTGGATAGATGCATAACCTTGTGAATTTTGGTACATATTAATAACAGATTACAATGCTTCAGATCCTATTTTTAATATCACGTGATGAAGTTAATTGCTACAAAACTATTCATCTTCCTCATTTGAATTAAAAGATGCATCCTGATTTACTCAGGCACTTGAATATGAGACTGGTGATGTCCTTGAAATTCTCCCTGGCCAAGATTCAGCTGCAGTCGATGCTTTCATACAACGTTGTAATTTGGATCCTGATTCATTCATCACTGTAAGTAGTCTTTCAATATTAGTTAATGTTAATGAGTTTTCCATTCTCCGACCTTCCTCAGCATTGACTTCACATTATTCTGCTTCATTTATAAAGATTATTGCATCCTTCAAACATTGTTTGATACATTTAATCAGCTTGATGAACTCTTTTCAATGGGATTTAGAAATAAAAGAAACAAGCCTTATGGCTGTTTCTGCCATTACTTCATGCTTTCAGGATTTCAGAAGCCATGTTCTCCCATTGTAGTTTTCTATCTGGGAATGGCAGAATCATATGTTGCTCATTTCTACTTGTACTTTGCTTTTGTACATGCCTTGTATGCATAAACTTTACTAATAGGAAATCTACAAAATTTCAGGTTAGTCCAAGAGAAATGGATGATCAAAATGCACATGACTCTAGAATCCCTGTAAAATTAAAAAATTTTGTGGAATTTTCAATGGATGTAGATTCTGCATCCCCACGGCGGTATTTCTTTGAGGTAAGATGCAGCATGTCTTGACTTCCCTTTTATTATGCCATTTTAAAAGAAAATTATGTAATTGAATTCAATGTTATCCTCTATGTCTTTTATTTTATTTTATTTTTTATTTGAAGTTTTTAATCTTGGAATGGATTGGATGCATAATGAGTTAATAAATTGCTGGAGTTGGATGCATTGTGGTTGTGGAATCCAACAGAAACTCCCACAATGGGCTGATGAATGTTGATTTTCAATATGTTTATTGGCTTTCCATCGCAAATCTCCATTAAAAGTCACATTGTGGGCTTTTGGATCAAGTCACATGGCGGGCCAAGCGCTTAATAACATACAAGCGACTTTATAACAGCATTAAGGTAGTGAAACTGCTAATGACACATCTTGGCTGTGGAGAGAAAATGACCTCTGACTGAAAATAAATTCAGAAATCCAATGTATTGTTCACTTTTATGTATGTTAGTGTTAATTTATGTAAAACCTATTATGCCCTATGCTAGATGAGTGAGTGTTTGGACATGATATCTACTTTTCTATTGCAAGATGTTGTGTATGATGTGTATCATATAAATTTGTCCTGGCACATTATGATTTCTTAAATATAGACCATAGGAAATAAGCATTATAAAAAAAAACTGACCTAAGTTTGGATATTTGAGTTTCTGCACGAATTGAAAGTCTTATTGTGCCTATAACTTCCTGCATTAAAAGCTAACCTAGTAATAATATTATGTTCCAGGTTATGAGGTTTTTTGCAACAGCGGAACATGAGAGGGAAAGACTTGAATATTTTGGTTCACCTGAAGGAAGAGATGACCTGTACCAATATAACCAGAGGGAAAGGAGAACTGTTCTTGAGGTTAGGTCAATTCATTGTTTTTTTATTTATGGAATTTTCTATTGTGTGTTTAGCAACTTAATATATGTTTTGTATGCAAGAAAGTGGGGAATGGTTTAAGGGCTGTATCTAGAACTGGTCCATGAATGAAAATAATTAAAATAATTAGTCATGGTGGTTCCTAAACTGACTCAAATTTGCTGTAAAAGTAGATGTAATATGCATATAAATAGTCTACCAAACCAAGAATAGTGATATAAGGCAAATATTTTAATAAAGGTTAAAATCTTAAGGTGAGGGAAATTATTAGATTACAATGTCGGACAGTTTCAGGCCCAAAATTCTGTCTCTTTACAGGTTAATGCCTTCATTCAAATTAAATTAATATTTTATTCAGTGTTAGTCATATAACTCATTTCTTTGGTATGAATATGCTACAATTGAATTGGAAAGATGTTGATTTAATGAACGATGAACTACCTATGTTATGTTCTAGTCATGAAATTGATTTTATTTGTTTTGTTGAAAGGTGGTTGTGTTTTGTATGAATCGGTGACTACTAATAGTTTAGGCAAAATACATTATTTTGGTGGAATTTTTGTTTGGCACAATTGTTTCAAAGGAAGAAAAAAGAATTTAAGGGGAAAAAACCAAGGGGCTTGATTGCTTATGCAGGGAATGCAGAAGTAGATCCCAAAATTTATGTTCTGGAATTTTATTATTTTCAATCATAATATCTTTTCTTCTTGGATAATGATTAAAAAAAATCATTGGAAGGGAAAAAGAAAAAAGAAAGTGGATATGATAACCTCCAATTAAAAATTATTCGGATATTCCTTGTTTGTCTCTGTTTCATTTCAAACTAATGCATATACCTATTCTCTTTGTTTGGGGAAAAAAGGTGTTAGATGATTTTCCTTCTGTGCAAATGCCATTTGAGTGGCTAGTCCAATTGGTTCCTCCATTGAAAACAAGAGCATTCTCCATATCTTCTTCTCAATCAGCTCATCCCAATCAAGTACATTTGACTGTGAATGTGGTGTCCTGGACAACGCCTTACAAGAGGAAAAAGAAAGGACTATGCTCCTCGTGGCTTGCTGCATTAGATCCCCGTGATGGTAAGAAAACAAAATCAGCCACTTATTGCAATTTATTAAGTAACCATCAGAACCATCAGTTTACCGCTATGTGCTTAATCAATTTTTTGTTCTAAGCAGACATCTATGTTCCAGCCTGGTTCCATAAAGGTTCCCTTCCTTCACCATCACCTTCACTTCCCCTCATACTAGTTGGACCTGGGACAGGATGCGCACCTTTTCGTGGATTTGTCGAGGAAAGAGCATTGCAAAGTAGAACTAACTCCACTGCTCCAATCATTTTCTTCTTTGGCTGCCGGAATGAAGACGGCGACTTTCTGTACCGTGACTTCTGGTTGAATCATTCACAGAACAAAGGGGTGCTTTCAGAAGCAAAGGGTGGAGGTTTCTATGTTGCTTTCTCAAGAGAGCAGCCCCAGAAGGTTTATGTTCAACATAAGATGAGGGAACACAGCCAGAGGATCTGGGACCTTTTAGCTGAGGGGGCGGCTGTTTATGTAGCAGGTTCTTCAACTAAAATGCCTGCAGATGTAACATCAGCTTTTGAAGAAATTGTAGCCAAGGAGAATGAGGTTTCAACAGAAGATGCAGCTAGGTGGATTAGAGCGTTAGAAAAGTGTGGTAAATATCATATTGAGGCATGGTCTTAGAAGAAGTCACGGGCTCGTGATTTTTAGACCTTTGGTAGTGCAATTATAGCCAATAGTGTCATTTGTATTCCGATGAATATTTTTTTTCGTTATGATGATTATTATCACACCTGTGGTTTATATGCAACGAGCTTTATTCTTTCATGTATATATATTGTATCACTTATATCCCTGGTTTTCTGAGAAGGATTTCGTATGCACTTGGCCAACAGAGAAGGGATTTATGATTGTACAATGCAAAGGTCATTCATATTCTTAATGTAGCTCCATAGAAATGCTTAAAAAGTCTAAGATAAACAATGTTGCTACATGTTTAGAGTAAGTGAGAATATTTTGTATATATTGGTATCGATGCTTAGAAAATGATGTCGATTTTACCAAAATTGTATGATGAAAATCAGGTCATTTCACTGAAACATTAAAAATAATGTAGGAGTTTTTCATTGATGATCCTTTGTAATTGATTTTTTTTTTATTACAAGATTTTTAATGTGTGTCGAGGAGTCAAAGGTATGAAGAATATGATGGGTTAACGTAATATTTATACACTCACTTTATGAAGCTGATTTATTTAATGAAAAATTATGTATTGTGTATGAGAATTCTTCATGCAAACAATAGTTACATTATCGTGAGGAAAATAGGTTTCTAACAGTGAATTGTTCATGAGAGGACAAAAATGAAAGTATGATAGAAATAATAAAATCATAACTTATTCCTATTCATTCACTTAACAAATAATGGATTAAAAACTTTATTCCATTAATCATGAAAGTTTAAATAAAAGACACATTTGTATTCTATTTTATATTAATTTCTTCCGTTCTATAATATTTCACTTCACCCTCACAATCATTAGATATTCAGGATATAATGAATTTCACTATATTGTTATCTTTTTTTTTTTTTGATTAAGGGTTAAAGTAAATATTATTTTGTCAAAAGAAAACTAAAATTAATGAGCTTTTTTAATATATATTATAAAAGGACAATCAAAATAAAATATTTTCATTTTTTTTCTAAAACAAAACTATATAGATAGCAGAGAATACAATTTGAAAAAAAAAAAACTTTTTATATAAAAATTAGAATAAATATAAAGAGAAGAGGCTCTCTTGTCTTGTGCGTTGTGTTGGTTCTCAGATCAAAAGCGTAGGATCTGTTGTGTCGTGTAAGGTAATGCTCTTCACTTCATTTCTTCATTTCTCGTATTTTGAATTGCACTCATTCTGTTTGTCGATTAGTATGCTCCGTTCATCGCTCCGATCGTTTTCGACGTCGGCGAGGGCGTCCAAGCAGCTCCAGAACCACAATTTCCTGTCGCCGAACTCCTTCCTGGGAAGCTGGGAGGCGCCGCGGGACCCCAAGGAGGCGGAGGCGAAGCTGGCGCGGCTGCGGAGGGAATACGCGAAGCAAGTGAAGGAGGTTCGGAAGGAGTATATAAGAGAGATGGAGGCCATCAAGATGGAGAAGGACCGCAAGGACGAGGCTCGCAGGGAGGCTCTCCGCGTCGCCAATGAAGAGCGCAAGAAGCTCAAGGCTCAGGCCGCGCAGCTCAGAGCGCAGGAACGTCACATTGAACGACAACACTTCCGAGAAACCCTCGTATGTTCCCCCAACCCAGTTCTTGTCTCCACTCTCAATAATTACATTACTTGCCTGCTTTTGCCTATTAGTATCATTCTCTAATTAGAGTTCAAGTTTTCACTTCGGAAATATGCATGATAAGGGTTTCTGTAGAATATTAACATAGTTTAGGGTTTAGGGTTTATCTAGGTGAGTTTTTTTAACCATATTATTGGTATGTAGACTAATCTTAATTTGAGAACGTGACTAACCATTTTTAATGGAGTGTATACAAGACTCGAACAGGAGACCTTAATTAACATTTCAATTTTTTATTGTGAACAACACCAAGTGCACCTAAGAAGTTGCATGTTAAGTTTTGCACTAACAAGTATATGCTTGCCAAAAAAGTTAAAATGAACTTGAATTTAGGATCTGTTTGGATAACTTTTTTCATTAACAAATAAAATAAGGAGGAAAAATGAAATAAGTTTTTTCCTAAGTTAAAAATAACTTTCGGAGAAGCTAATGTGAGAAATCTGTTACAAATTAACTTATTTTGGATAAACTTATTTCATTTTTCTTTTTTTGTTTCTTCTCCCAAAAATGCTTATAGAATAGTTTATCAAAATAGGCCCTTATTGACATGTCAATTTGTTTGTTCATATTGCAATTTGAACGTTGAAGGCTCAGTTTTTGGATTTTGATTTCACTTTTAACGTTCAAAACGCTTGATGCGTGATAAGTTTTGTTAACATGGTGAACCGTTGAATACATTTATTGTCCCGTCCTACTCTGTGAAAACAAGTATTAATCTAGAGGTCTCTTGGGATTTAGAATTGGATTTTTTTTCTGTAGTTAAGGTGAATTTTAGTGTAGAGTTATGACTGCAATTTGTTTTCAATTTATCTCTTTGGATTTTTCACTTTGTACTGCTATTATTTGTATATTGATGCATTTTATTTTGTTTGTTACAAATCTATCATTCCAATGTGTTATGCACTTTGAACTATTTCTTTCGTTCTTTTCCTCATGTTATTTTGTGTGAGTCTTTGATCAAATTGTTTCTTGCAGTGTTTGTTTCATGTTTGCTTTAGATTACTTTGGGGAACATGATTGCTTATTTTTTAAAAGCTTTTTCAGAAAAGCTGACATAAAATAAGCGATTGGTTCTTGAAAATAACTTATTGTCATTGATTGATTTCTTATTTTTGTGAGTCAGTTGAAAGAAAGAGCAGAGAAACTTGCAAACTGGAGGATGAAAGTCAAAATGCACGAAGAGAAGAAGGCAGAGAAGAAAGAATTAATGCATCGACAAAGTTCGATGTGGATTGATGAAGAGAATCTTGAAAAAAAATTTCTGGATTCCATTTCTGATATGGTGCATCTTTGAGCTCCTTACAGTTCTGGATTTATTGGTTGAGGTCTGTGTTAACTGGTCAGTAGAATTTTGGCTTGTGTTCAAAGCAGCCTCATAAAAATAGTTTTTGCATTTAGATGATCACATTTGTGCTTATAGCCCACACAATACTTTGGATGTATTATTATTCATTGTTTTGGTTTGGGATCAAGCTTATTACTCGGCATGAGAATATTAAAAATAGAATGATATTGAATCTATTCTAGTAGCTAATAAGTCAAGTGGCTTTGTGTGCAATGACTGAGTGGTAGGGAAACTATAATTGAGATCCTGGTTTGGCCTTATTGAGGTTTTTTGATGATAACACAAATCTGTGATCACGGTATATCAAGTAACAGCTGCCACTGATTTTAAATTTATATTGACGCTTGGTTTTAGAAGCCTTGTGTTCCTGATTTTTGGAACTTTTCTAGCCCTATTATAGCCAATAGCTGACTTCCCCTGATTCTATTCTTGCTTCTTTTTCATGTTTTTTTGGTTATCTTCTTTGTTCATTTAAGTAATGCCATTCTGTTCCTTTCCCCTACCTGTCCAAAGGCTTGATCTCATCTACTAGAGTTTCAAGCGATATTTTATTTTCCATGAATATTTTATTCTTATACAATTATTGCACCTGTAGTTTAAATGCAATCAGCTTCATTATTCCATTTATATGTATTGTAAAGACTGGTTTCTGAAAGAGTAATCCGTATGCAATTGGCCAACGGAGATGGGTTTTATGATTGTACAATAATAAGGTCATAGTCTCAACGTAGCTCCGTATAAATGCGTTCCCAGAGTCATTTCGTAGTAGAAACTATAATAATGCAAAGGTCACTCTCTCATTGTTGTTCCTGTGCAATGCTTTGCTAAAGCATCTCTCTTGTTATCCCTGTATAAGATGAAAGAAAACAGAGAAGTCAAAGATAATAATAATGCACATATTTATCGAAGAGAAAAAAAAAAAAGAAAAAAAGAAAAAAGAAAAAAAAGTTGATTTTTAAAATATTTTTTCATTTTCTTTAGTAAAATTGCAAAATTTTCTAGTTTCTATCATTTTCCTTCCTCTAAACTAAATCAGGATTAACCGTGGAATTAAAAGTCAGCTAAGTTTATGCAGTATGATTTAAAATTGATATCACTTGTTTATTCAAGAATTGACATGAATGGTTTGTAGAGGAGACTCTGTAATTAGTCTAATTTATTGACAAAGATTAATAATTAATAGAGTTAATGAATATTATGAATTTATAACATGATAATATTAAAATAAAAGGAATGAAATTGGAATGAAAATGAATTTTGAAACATGCAACTGATCATGTAATTATTTGAAATTATTATAATTAAATCATGTTTACTTTTAATATAGCCATAAAAAAAATAGAACTCACAAATTGATCAATAACCAATAAATTATTGAATATTCATGTGAATTGAGTAAAACATAAGTTACAAAGGGATTTTAACTTGGTTGAATAGTGTGAGTTGTTTTTAACTTGTTGGCACTAAGTTTGATTCTTATAGATTAAAAAGAAGGTAAAAAAACAAGTTGAAATTTAACATTGGTATATAGGTTTCATATAGTTTTAAAGAATTTTGCCATGTTTATTTTCATTTTTCAGAAGTAATTATCTTTTTAATTTGTTTTATTATTGTATATGTTTTACGTTACAATAAATTGTGTATTTTTTTTCTTTAAATTTAACTTTGTACTAACATAATAATAATAATAATTTAACGCAACTTTTTCACTTGTTATAGGTATTTAAATAATAATAATAATAATAATAATAATAATAATAATAATAATAATAATAATAATAATAATAATAATAATAATAATAATAATAATAATAATAATAATAATAATAATAATAATAATAATAATAATAATAATAATAATAATAATAATAATAATAATAATAATAATAATAATAATAATAATAATAATAATAATAATAATAATAATAATAATAATAATAATAATAATAATAATAATAATAATAATAATAATAATAATAATAATAATTTCTTTTGTGATTGAACATTTCACACCAAACATATTAATTGTTAATATTGAGATAATTTTTGTTGTAAAAAAAAAAAATATTGCGATAGTATATGGATTCTTAAAAGTTAAAAATACAACTTGTACTTTTTTAGTTTAGATTTTTTTTCTCTATAATATGCTTCTTTTTATTTTAATCTTTGTAATTTTAAAAAAAAAATGATCTATATAAAGCTTACTTTTTTATTTTGATCATTGTTATTTTATTTTAGTCTTTATAATGTTTTTTTTTTCATTTTTGTCTTAATATTACATTTTAATCAATTTGAATTAGTTTATTTTGAAAAGAAAAAAAATAGAGACCAAAAGTATGTCATTCACATATTACAAAAAGACAAAAAAAAATATATAAATTTTACAAGAATACTTTTAAAATATAATTTTATAAAGACAAAAACAAAAAAAAATTACATGTAACAAAAGTATATTTAAGCACGCGAAGCTGCGCTCTGTTCCGTTCCATCTTGTAAAAGGAAGAGCACCGTTTCTGCTCTGTTCACAAAGCGAGAAAAGTGAATCCTATCTCTTCTGTTCGATAAGGTAATGCAAATTCCCTCTTTCTTTGCTTTCTTCAATTCATATTATGTCATCATTTCCTGAAATTTTTATATTATTAATGCTCATACTTCATAGAAACTTAATTGAAAGGTTTTATTTGTAGCAGTATGAGTAGGTAGTAGCACCCATCGAAAGATTCGAAACTGTTTCTTTTATACGAAACAATGTAATCACCTCTCAATACGTTTCGTTTTACAACTCTTTCAATCGCGTTGGGATTGGGACTGCCCTCATTCTGTTTGTGGAAATGTTTACCTTTTATTTTCTTGCAACCCCCTCATCATCACAATTTAGATTTTTTATTTTATTTTATCTTTTGTGTTTTCTGCACTTGTAATTCAAATTAACCATTAATTTAGTCCTAGGAGTATCTCCTTCTCTCCTAAAAAGTTCTTAAAATAATAAAATCATATAATTAGTCCCAAACCTAAACTGTTCTTAAAATAATGAGATTATATAATTAGTTCTTAAAGGATTGAATATCCATCAATTGAGTTCTTGGGCTTACATATTTTACTAACATTGAGGTATGTAACTTTATTTCTAATATTTTAGGGATTATTTTTATAATTTCAGTAAAGAGAGAAAGTAATACTTCAGTGACAAAATTAATAGTTTATTTATTCCGATTGAGTGAAATTGTGCTAACCCTTTTATTCCCGATTAACCTAGATGGCTGGACCTTTAGGATATAGGAGTCTTCCACCTAAAGCGAAGAATTTGGTAGTTGCTGGGGGTTTGACAGCTTTTGTCTTTGGTGCCTACTTCTACACCATGAGGGCTGTTGGAGGCACCGATGAACTACAGGTAGCAATTGATAAGTTTGAAGCTGCCAAGAGCAAGAGTGAGGCTGATGCAAACTTGTCATCAAAGGTCTAAGGCTTATTTATTGCTTGTACAATAAAAACAATACTTTGGGTGCATTTACTGTTTTGGTCTGGAATCAAACATTTCACTCAGCATGATAATGTTAAAACAGAATGATATTGAATCTAGTTGTAATAAGTTAACCAGTTTTATGTACAATGACTGCGTAGTAAGGAAATTATAATTGGGATCCTGTTTTGGTCTTATTGAAGTGCTTTGTTGATAACCAAGGTTATAAAAAACAGTTCGTGTATTCAATAGGATACCAGTATATCACGGAGATGTATGGGTGGATACTGATCCATTGATATCAATGGCTTTTCTTCCCTAGATCACATTGGTAGTACTGATTAAATTAAATCACTGAGGTAATACAACTACAGAAAAAAAAAATGCCCTTTTATCCGCGCAGAAAATTCACTTTCTTTCACGAGCTTTACTGCTTGACTGCTTCAATTCTTTGTACAAGGGATCAAAAAGAAATTGCGTATAGCAAGAAAGGAAGAAGAATTAACGTCAAGGTTTTTGGAGTGTTCAAGAAATGCAATGAAATTGTGATCTTAAAAATGTTGCTGATAACACAAATCTGTGATCATATGATATGTAATAACAGCTACTACTGTTATTGAGTGTGGGGCTCAGGGAAGAATGTCATTACAAACTTAAAATAATAATAATAAAAAAGAACTGTGTCCTGTGTTTGCAAAGAGGCTTATTAAAAACTCTTTTACTAATATGCTTTCTACTATTAAAAAAAAATTACAAATTTTAATGAGTTTTTTTAAATAATGAGAGACTTATTAAATAAAATGTAAAATTAAAAAAGTCATATTTTAATAAATTTCAGCTAATAATTAAGAGTGTTAAAACTAGCAAACAGTCTTCTGTTCATAATCTCTTGTCTTCATAATTTGACTTCACCTTATTGATGTTTGATTCCCCAAAGGGAAGTAAAAAAACACTTTGGTCTCTTTCGGTTGTCATGTCTTTTGGATTTAATATTTTCTTAGTTGCTTAGGTTATGTCTGATAAGACGACTCGAGTGTCTACGCATTGTCTTTTTGGCTTTTCGTTTAAAGTATAATTAAAAGAGAATTTTTGTTCAGTAATATATTTTATAAAGTATTTTAAATACTTTTATGATAGGGTAATAAAATAGATTCAAGAGCTGAACAAGTGGTATCGATATCTTTAGTCTTTGGGCATTTGAGACCCATAATGTGTAACATGTTGAAAATCCAAATACTAGTAGTTTAGATTCTTTAGAATGTGGTTGTTACTTAACGTTCCAAAGCATACTTTCGATTTTAATCTTTCAGGATCTTCTGTGAACAGATAAATTTGAAGTGCGTTTTCGGTTACTAATTAGATGGAAATAGTTGCATAAACAATATTGCTGAGTTTAAATTAAAAACTAAAATCAGTATGTTTCAGTATTGTTCCAAAATTTAAATGTCCTAAACTCCATCGACGAAAGAAGTGGGCGTAATTCTGGTTGTCTATGAAAGAAGAATGTTATGAATTTTTTTTATCTATAGTAATTACAATAATAACATCAAATTCAAACTTAAAATTTTATGCATATTATATCCAATCTCCACTAACATTTTACAAATTTAAATAAATGTCATTTTACTCAAAAAGAACTAAAACTAATCATGATTTACAAGTTAAGAACTAAAGAAATATCCGACTATCATATCCATAAATTTGATGAACTCTCTTACTTGATTTGATTAAGGGGTGTAATGTGTATTTTAATTAGAGAAGTGCCACAAACATAATATTTATAACACATTTTATTGTTAATTGAAATTTATTTTGTGTAAAAAATAGGTTTAAATATGTTTTTAGTTTCTCAAATTTAAGATAAATTTATTTTTGGTCCTCAAATTTAAAATTATTATTTTTAATCCCTGTAATTTTCAAAAAATTTATTTTAGTCCCTTAGGTCACCAATAACATATTTAAAAGTGACTAATTAAGACAGTTATGCAATACCGACCGGATTTAATGTGATATTTTCACTGATAGGGAGAATAGGTAGATTTTATGCAATAATGTTTGATAAATTTTTTAAAAGAAATTGAATATAAAGACTAAAATAATTTTTTTTGAAATTACAAGGACTAAAAACAACAATTTTAAATTTGAAGGACCAAAAACAAATTTATCCTAAATTTGAGGGACTAAAAACATATTTAAGCGTAAAAAATATTTATCTCTTATTAGAGATAATCTTATTCAAATCAGATGAGTAAGTAGAGAATTACAAAATTAAACTTTTAATGATGTCATACAGTCTTATATTTAAATTTTGAATTTAAAATCATTGATTAAGGTTATTGAAATAATTTCATGCGAGTTGATCTTTGTTTAATGTATTGATGTGAAACTCATAAAATTGTATAATTTTTATTAAATTTTAACAATAAAAGCAGTGGTTACAACTACAAGAGTGTTTTGTAGTATTTCTCTTTCTTCTAAAAAAATTAAAGTAGCATTTCTCTTTTAATTACATAGGGACTGCAGTAACTTTTGCAAGTATGGAGAGGGGAAGTGTAAAATTTTACAAAAATAAAATAAAGTTTATACAAAATAAAAGGCGTGACATAATTTGCGGGTGACCCGATTGAAAGTGATTCGGTTCGGGTGAAGACACTGCAGGTTCCTTATCTTGTTAAGTTCACTTGAAAGTTGAAACCTCTGTGTTGTGTTGTGTTGTGTGTGGCATCACAAAATGAACACTTTATCCATGGCACTTGCTCACCCAACTCTTCTTCCCACTTTCCATCCCAACCCTTTAACCTTTTCTTCCATCAAACTCAAACCCTCACTTTCCTTCTCACACTCACGCTCGCACGTGCCTCTTCAAACCCCCACACGCTTCAGGACCCTCTCTGCTTCCGCCGCCGTCGCCGAAGAAGACGCCCCTCCCTCGCCCCAGCCCGAGGTTCTCACTTCTCAAAAGTTTTCTCTTTTCGGCAATTTTTCTTTAAATAATAAAAAAAATCTCATTTTGTTCATTGTTGGCTGTTGCTGTGATTATTAGAAGCTTGGAGTGGTAGTGAAGGCAATGGAGAAGCCAAGACTCGTGTTGAAGTTCATTTGGATGGAGAAGAACATTGGAATTGCACTTGACCAGATGGTACCGGGCCATGGCACCATTCCTCTAAGCCCATATTACTTTTGGCCCAGAAAAGATGCTTGGGAAGAGCTCAAGGAGTTGCTCGAAAGCAAGCCTTGGATCTCTCAGAAGCAGATGATTATTCTTCTCAATCAAGCTACTGATATCATCAATTTGTGGCAGCAGAGTGGTGGCAACTTATCTTGAGTGTTGGAACATCTTTCATTTCAAACATTTTTGTCTTTTGCTATTCTTGGGGTAATCAGTGATGTTTTTTTTATTATAGGATGTTGGTGTTCCCTTTTTAATGTTATGTAGCTATGTTTGTACGCTCTTTCTCTTGCTTTGTATATCAGCCATGTGCTTAATATTACTATCAACTAATCTAAAAATTCTTTCTTATGATTCATTAGCTTTCTGTCATATTTTGTATCACCCTGTAATGTTTGATTGCAAACCTCTTGGTGGCCATAATATGCAAATCACGGTTTTAAAAAATGTCTACAACCGCAGTTCTAGAGGCAACGTCAAGGCTTTAGGAGTGCCTGCAACACAACCACAACTGTCACAGGATCGTGTATGTTCTTTTCTTTATCCACAAGAATAAAAAAATATACAACAATTCACACGCACACTAATTGAACTAGACTCCTCTGGATAGGATCGTCTATGTTTGTCAATGTCTCATAATATTAAGAAATGTGAAGAAACTACTACAACAACTGCAATTTAAAACTTTGATGTAAATGCAAGGTAATATGTAGAATTTGAAGTATAATTTCAAACTTCGATGCAGATATATGGTAATGGTCATCTGTAGAATTCGAAGTACAATAACTGAAGTTTTGAAATATCTAGAAACATTTTTTTCTTAAGAATGGACTCAGACCTTGTTATGCATTATCACAAGATAATCAAGACTCTTTGGAGTCAGGAGTAAGTTTATTGTCTCATTAGTTGCGAAGGGAAATTACATTCGGTGTTTGTATTTTACAGTTCATATTGTGATTGGCAAGGTTGGATGCTTCACTGTTCACCCTTAATAAAGCGTTGTTCATCTATGTACTACTCATATTTTCATGAGATAAAGGACCTGTTGCTTGCAGAGACTTTGAGGGTAACTTCTTGCTAGATGAACAATAACAAGGATTTTGGTTGCTTAGATTTGTCATTGCATTGGTTCATCTTCACTTTCAACGTTATAATGATAAGATATTGCCATCAAAACTTACCACCCGTGGGCTGTGGTCACGTATTTAACTAATCCAGAAACTCATTTGTACCTCAGTAGAATATAAGCTTTTAAACATCATTTCTTAGATGTAATAATCAACTTTCCGTTGAAAACTGTATATAACCTATTGACAGGAAGTCAGGTGCTGAAGTAAAGGAGCTCCTTGATAGCTAAATTACCTTCTTTTTTTTTCAGATCAAGCACGAAAATCTGTATACTTTATACAAGTCTCATGCTCGCATTGAACCATTTCACTGTAAGCCTAAGCTTTTAATAATAATTTTCGAATTTGACTATCCCTTTTGCTGGCAACAATGATTTAGCTTTGTGATCATTTAGCATCATTGCTTATCCTGATTTTCTCCGTTATTAGGGTAAATATAAAATATAACATGGACTATCCTCTTAATCCTCAGACAAATGAGAAGTGGTTTTCCCCTTTGAAAAGTTGGATAAAGCATGGACACCGCATGCTATTTGACACCTTGAGAGAAATATAGGTATTGATAGGTTATGACTTAATAAAAAGAAAGAGATAAGAAAGTGTTTGTGATATATAGGTGTACATATTCATTACCCTTAACATTTTTACGTTTTTGGCCCTGCAGCAACTTCTTGATGTTGCCTTTCTGGTTAGCTAAATCCTGACATTCATGAGAAATTGAGAAGAACAAGCTCCAGGCTTCAATCAAGAGGCTAAATTGTTACACTTTTATTTAGCATGAGGGAAACCACATGGCAACAGGATTGGCTTCAAAATGTTTCTATTAGGGTTTGAATTGGATTTTACATATTCTGGTAAAATTTTTGCAAATTGATTTTTTTTTTTTTATACTTTTTTTAATTTCAAGAGCTAAATTATTTTGGGGCTTTACATTTTGTACACTTTTGAAGAACACTTTTTTGTTCGTCTTTGTGTTCATCTAGTCCTCACTGACATCATCTTCCAGTCCAAATGTTCATGATTTGTATGTATCTCTTTTGGAAAATGTGTTGGACCCTTAGTTTCCATCGCATGACTTCTTACCACGGGATTTGAAGTGGGATCAGGTTGAGATCTCTGTGCATTCCATCTTATAGCATGGGAAGAAGGGTCGACTCTTTCTTCACTGAAATGTTCATTTTCCGTAGCTTCATCAGACTTATTGTTGTGATCATTGTTATCCAATAAGCTCTTGGCTGAGACCAACTCACTGACCATGTTGCCCTTTCTATTTGCTTCCTCCACGTGTTCCTTGGAAATTACCCTCCTTTCCAATGCTTTGAATTCAATAGCGTGGTTGCTTTTTGATATGACTTCATCCTCTTGTTTAGAACTAGAGCTCACCATGGGATCCACATGCATCTTGCCATGAGCAACCCTATGATTTGAGTGTTTACTGTCTTCAGAAGGTTCTGATCTTAAGGCTTTTTCAGCAACAGAAGCAGCTGTTTTTGCAGGATTATTTTGGATATTTTCTTTATGGTTATGATCATCAACACTACTTTTTCTGGTTTCAGGTTCATTTTGCCTTTGGTCAACATTCAACTTGTCCTGCAATAGTGTAAGAGAATTTGTTTCATTATAAAATATCACAATGAAGTTAGTGCATGTTGTTATTTATTTTTGAGACAAGGTTCTCTTACCTCCTTGATCAATATAATGTCCTGCTCCGAACTCAAAGTAACTCCAACTTCTGAAGCAATTTGCTTCAGAGCTTTCATTTTGATTTCCATGGTGGGGCGTTTCGGTGAAAGCTTTTGTATCATCTACATAAACCGAAGAAAAGCTATCAGAATAATGGGAAAATTCTCTTAAAATGAGTTCTCACAAGATGTATGCAACAACTGATACCTTAGAGTTCACTCTATTATTTCTGTGCAACTCAACAGCATGATCTGCAAGTTCTTTCCCAAACTTTGATGTTAAAATCTCTCGTATCTTGTGCAGCTCTGGAAATTCTCCACACCTTGAAGATGCAAAGATAAGGCTAGATGTTGCTTCCTTGAGCTCAACGGGGCACTCCCTACATAAACACGTTTTCAAACATCTAAATTAGAAATTAAATTAGGAGTAAAATGTCATTGTGCCTATTTGGAAACAAGTTTAGAAGAGTTTTTAAAAGCTTCTCTACTAAAAATAAGGAGCTTTTTTCAAGCTTTGATCCAAACAGGTTCATTGAATTATTCATCACCAATTCAGTTTGGTGCAACAACCATAGAAATAGAAGCAAGGAGTGGAGAAAACTCACTTGTTCTTTTCAAGAACTTCAGCTCTTTCTCTAAGGAAACTGCAATAACTTTCTATCATAGCAAATACTTCCAACATGTTTTGTTCTATTATCCATTGCTCCACCTGTTAATAAGTAAAAGATAAATTCAATATTTGTGAGAGGAAAAGAGAGAAAACTGTTGGTGAATGGTTATAAGTAATAACTTACACGAAGTAAAGCACGATCATGGTAACCAAGGTTCAAGAGTTGAGCAACATCAGAGCGAGCATAAGTGGCTCGAGCTTTGTGCTGGTTCTTCAAGATAACAATCCTAGAAACAGCAAGTGTGGTGATGCTTTTGAATTTGGAAGTGAAGCTTTTTCCAAGCAGACCCATGTTATGAATGGAATTTGCTACCACCTTATACGTTGGCGTGTATCCAAAAGGGAAGGGGAATGAAGGATTTTATTATCAGAAACTCCTTTATAAGAAAACCACTATAGTAGATAAGAGTTCAAATTTGACTTTATTCTATACGCTAATGTTAATGTGCGTCCATCACTTATAAATGAAATCGTCCCCAGTACCATAATTATATAGGAGAGTTGTTTATTGCTTTGAATTGGCCTAAACTTTAGTTTGGGTAGTTCTTACCTTCTTCCATATGTAACATAAATACTAGAAACTTTGATAATTTTTATTGGACACTCGTCACCTTTAACGGGACCCATAACAGGGATGTCACGTGGGATATGACTCCTTCTCATGCAACTAGTGCAAGTTTGGAAAGGTCAAAAACCATATATTATTGCATTATGTGTTTTTTGTGAATTATTTTACTTGTCCTATTCGGCTAAAGTTGTAGGAAAGCGTTGGTTTGGTAAGTGACCTTAATAATCCTCTATTCGTCACATAATACTTGTCATTCTAAGATATTTTATATATTTAAAAAAAACTAATGAATAGAAGAAAAAGAATAATAATTTTATAAAATTAATCTCATTAATCTTTCTGGTTAAAAATTATTATTAAAGATATAAATAGAAAAGTAATTAATACAATATTAAAAAAACTAAAATGACATTTGAGAAGGAGGGAATACATGTTTACCAAAGGTTGAAATTCTTAGGCGCGTGGTAATACTAATAGCTTTTTTCTTAGAAAAGCTGCAAAATTTGATTGAGGCGCGTAGTAATAGCATTTTCTTATATGGCTGCTTTCTAACTAGGGAATAAAATATTTTGAGCAAATAAAAAAACAGAGAGAAAGAAGAAGAAAATTTAAACAAGTGATTTTGGCTGCCATGACAAGGTAGCACTTGGGATGTGGTCAAGCGCGTTTGGTACAATTCAATGAAACGAATTGAAATTTGAAAGCTTCAGGCGTAGTTCATATCATATATCACTTTATAGACTTTAGCTGATCCAGTTAATGTTGCCGAGGATTCACTAAATGGTGGACACAACAAATGCAATAAGTTTTGTATCCAAAAAATAAAAATAAAAAAAGATCCCCATAATGAGTTATAACCCGGTGATCCAATTCACATTAGTTTTTTTTTTTTTTTTTGTCTGTGTGAAAATGATAATTAGTAGTAAATATATAAACTTTGCAGTGATATACATGAAATTAGCCTGATAGACATGAGACTAGTTGTAATTTTAAAAAGGGCAGAATGACAAATTTTCCCCACGCAATTATACTTAAATTAAGATCAAAAGTTGATAAAATACACAAGTAATTAAAAAAATTGTGCATATATATATATATATATATATA